CCCCAACACACACATCTCTGCCTCTATCTCTGGTGTCACTGCTTCTCTCATTCCGCTGTGCTCTTCTCCCTTAATAGTCCTAGGGTCCTTTGTTTCTGGACTGTAAGATTAACTACTCCCCTGTTTTTGTTACAAAACTTCTACCTTTACAGTTCTGACCGTTGTAATTAGTCATGATAACAATTAGTATTGAATCTAAGAATCGTATCCCCATCTCTTTTTATCAGACCCATCTAGACAAGATGAAAACTATTCAGTGGGGACTACCTTCCCCCCACACTTTTAAACTAAACTCCTCTTGAAATCTTACAAGCCAGTCACTTTGTGCCTTTAGTGCCCCCTCATTTTAGGTAGCCAATGTTTAAGTTGCCTGTCCCTATCTACCCTTTATATAGAGAGGATAGCATTGATACTTGATGTGAAGACTCCTTTCCTCTCTGGTGGTATTTTGAGGTACTACATCCATAAGTATAGGACAAGTTCCTCATTTACATCTTATATTTCACAAATGAACAAAGCAAAAAATATTTGTACAGATACAAAACAAAAATATATATTAATTTAAATGTCCAAAGGGCACATTCTGCAAGCCAGCCTCCTGTCTGCAGGCACACAGCCTTACTCAGCCCATGGGCCTAGAGCCCACAACTGCTCTTGTCTTTCCGATTCCATCGTCTGTGCCACTATATCTGCTGTTGCCACTTTCCTAGGTGGGCTCTCATGCTCTGTTCATGATGCTTTGTTCATGTTCTTCCTTCTCAATGGGCCTGAGATCGTCTTTCCCTGAGGTGTCTGGGATTTTCTGTGTGTAGAAGTAGGGATAGTTTTACTTCTTCATTACCAGTTTGGACTGCTCTAGCTAGGACTTGCAGTATGTTACTAAATGAGAGTGGTGATCCTGAGCATCCTTGTCTCATTTCCATTCTCAAGGGAAATGCTCTCATATTCTGTCTCTATTGTGAACAATATTGGCTGTTGGTTTTGCATCGATGCCCTTAATTACATTGAGGAATTTCCCTTCTGTTGTTATTTTGCTGAGTTTTTGTCAGAACAGGATGTTAGACTTTATCAAATGTCTTTTCTACGTTTAATGAGGTGATCTTGTGATTCTTTTCCTTTATTTTATTTATGTGGTGAATTACACTGATTGATCTTCTAATGCTGAATCACCCTTAACATACCTGATATGAATGTCATCGGGGAGGCTGTTTCATTCTGTTAGTATTTTGGTTTCTGTAGTTATGAGGGATCTTGATCTGTAGTTTTTCTTTTTTGTTTGATACCTTTGCCTGGCTTTGATATCAAGGTTGTGTTGTTAATTGTTGCTAAGTGCTGTCCAAACACCTCCATGTACCCAGCTGCACCGCTGTCTCTGAATACATCAAAGAATTTATTTTATCTTCACTCTTGTTAAATAGAAATCAAAGAACCTAGGACCTAGGTTTCAAGAGATATAAAAATAGACTCATAGTCATAGAAACCAAGTCCTTTGACACTACACAATTTAATTATTTGCATGTGAACAATATTTTCAGCCACTAACATCACTACAAGTAGAAACTACTCACTCATTAGCCAAGTTCCGTTTCTAGATTAATGCTGGATAGAAAACATTTCCCTGTCAGATTTGTTCTGTCACTTGTAAATGTTTACTAATCTATTAACCCCAGCTTCTCTACCCTGGCCAGAAAGTCAGAATCCTCCCTTGAGGAAATACCAAGCTACCTGTAGGCTACCTCTGCCAGGAAATCTAGGCAAAGGGGGATTATGGAAGTGGTTCCCTCACACAGATGAGTGTGAAAGTGATGTGGCACCTTGGAAAGACACCAGACTTGGGTCCCGACTTTGCCACTGACCCACTAAAGGATTTGGTGTTCATAATCATCTTAGCTCTTGCTCTTGGGTCCTTGTTTTACTCTGTAAAATGGACATAACCACCTGTCCTTGTTGTTTCATGGGTGTGTGTTGGGGAGCAGATGAGGTAAGCAAGAGGAAATAACATCGCTTAGTAAATTCTGCAGGTTTGTGAGTGACTATAACTATTGGGATATAAAATATCTCTTATCTTTTCTCAGATTGGGGCTCAATATAGACTCTACATCTTGAACATACCCAGAAAGTGGAGTAAAAATTAAGTTAGGCTTATTCTGTAAGTAATGTACAATGAGCTTGGAAATGCACCTAAACAGTAGCTTATAGAAATGACTTTAGAAAAATATGCTAGTATTCAAGGCTGATGTTTCAGTCCTAAATATTGTTCACAAGGCACTTTTATAGAAGAGCTTGTCTGCCACTTACCAGATCATGAAAGAACAGTCATTTCCAGGACAACAAAGGCTTAGGAGAAACAAGCTGTTTGAAGCAAAGCATTTGACTGCTGTGGACCTCAGTGGTAATAACTCCTATTACATAACATTAGTAAGTGCATTAAAAGATGTACTGCAAAGGATTTAACACCATGTATTACTTCATCTCAATTAATAAAGCAGCTACTATTGTTTTTATTTTTTGGTACCTAAGTGTGTAACCTGGGGCAGCTCTCTTCTCCATTTGAGTTCAATTTCTCTATTTCTAAAAAGTAACCTTATATCTTGGGAGTTTTCTACCTCTGGCTTTTTGTACCATGAGTGGATTATCCTCTACTGTCTGGTGTCCTGGCATTTTTGTGGTTAGTAGTGATATCATAATCTAAGAGATTGGACTTGAATGTTGATTCTGACGTGTTCTTTCCTTTACAGACGACTACATACACCCGCCGGGGCCATGGAGCATGCACCAGCCCAGGTTGCTCTTTCACATATGTCACCAGGCACAAACCACCTAAGTGCCCTACATGTGGGAACTTCCTAGGAGGGAAGTGGATCCCAAAGGTAAGGTCCATTGGCAGTTGCTTCCATGGAAGCCCTGCAAAGTATATTTTCTTTTGCTGTTAAGGACAGATTACTTAAAAAATATTACTATTTTTACTTTCTGACTCGGTAAGTCCTTTTCATTACAGATGATTTGCTTAAAAAAAGAGAAAAATCTATAATCTTAGACCATCCTAAGAAACGGCATTATTAACATTTTGATATACAGGTAGTCCCCATGTATGACAGGGTTCCATTCTGATGACTCTTTTCATAACTTAATTCTGAGGTAAGTTGAATATATTTATATATATATGTATTATTGCTATTCATTGTTAATAAAAATAATCATTATAAATTATAAATCTAATCTGTATCTTTGGTAATTGGAAACATTATATGTAAACTTGTTGTTAAGTGCCATTGAGTCTGTTTCAACCCATAGCAACTCTGTAGGGTTTCCGAGGTGTGACTAGTGAGCTTGAACCATCAACCTTGTGGTTCAAACCAACTTTGTAGTCCATTGCATTAACCCACAGTGCCACACCAGGAGAGATATATTTTAATAATTACATTTTAAAATAACACAAATCATAGTAATTTACCCCGATGATGGAAGAGTTGGATGACATTGGTTAATTTGTCAGTTGCAGTAATAACTTCATTTGTGGAATGTTCTGGATTATCTCTGGGAATAATCCAGGGATGACATTTCTAGGCAGAAAATTAGAAGTTCCCTCTTCTCCCCACATCTGCTCCCCCTGTCTCCCCACACATATGTTTTGTAGTAATATCTCACTGCTTCCCTCATCTGTCTTTAGCAAACTGCCAACGTTTGAGTCCATGTTTTTAAACATTTGAAGCCCTGATTTACTTTAGAAAACTCTAGTGAATCCTAGAACTGTAAAAATTTTTGATAATTTCTCTTCCTCCACCATCTTGGTCCAGTTCATCCTTGAAGTTTTCAGCAGCTTCAACATTGATACTTCGAACTGCTTCATCAGTTATGTGAATGTTATGAAGTGAAATCTCTGTTTAAAGTGATGAAACCCCCCTTTGCTGGCTTTAAAGTATTCCTAGCTGTTCCTTCAGATTTTCAAAATGACTGTGTGCTTTTGTTTGAATAGGTAGTAAATTCATAGGAATCCTCTTCAGGATTTTGACTTCTGTCTAAATTATCAATAACGCTCCATCTTGCTGATTTCTTGCAAGTTGCTTTATAACTGCTTCTAGAATCCTATTCTTATACTTAATGATTATTTAAATGGTCACATGAGACAGTCCTTCCTCACATGCTGTTTTCCTGACTTTCTTTCCATTATCTAGACCTTAAGGATCTTTCTCTAGAGCCTGTCTCACCTTTGTTGGATTAGAAGTTGCGGTGGCATGACTTATTTTGCTAGACATATTGTGTATATAAGTAGTGTTACAATTAGAGAAATTTGAACAAATGGACTTCACATTAACAGCTGTTGCATCTTATGGTATGAAACACTGAATAAGATCATGCTGTACGTCTGGTCTACAATAAAGTCAGCATCAGTGTTATAATAATGTAGTTGGAGTAGCGATAAATTTGAATTTGTAATGCTTGTTGGGCATGTGTGCAGTTCAGTTGTCTTAGGTCATTAGAGTTGAATGTTGCTCAGTTTTCAATCTGTTACAACTTCCGACATTAACAGCAGTATCATTGTGGAACAGGTCACAGCGACACTGAAGGCAGTACATACTATCAGCAATAAAATGTACTCCAAAAATGGATGCTCAGAGGGTGATTTGATGTGTTGTAATTTAAGAAATACCTGTGTTTTCTTGTAGTATTATTTTTATAAACTAAATTTGATGAATGCCATTCAGTATTCTCCAAAAACATTCTTTTTAACTCTTTCAAAATTTCCCATGAATGAGTACACCATTTTAATTTACTCATTTCTTATTAGGATTAAATTTAAATAATCTACCTTTTCACAGTACTTAGTTATCATTCAGCTGCATAGCTCATATCTTCTCAGGCTTTAGTGGAAGTCTTTCACCTGATACTTAAAATCTTCCATTCGCTTCCCAAGTTTTTATCTTACTCTGTCTGTCTCTGTCTCTCTCTCCGATAGCCAAGCTAGATGGTTGTCCTCTTTTATGTCTGATGCCTGGTTCTTGGCTCATTGTGAATGTCACTTCTTCCATGACACATTCCTAGGGCAAAATGAGGGGCTTTCCCGTACGGATGTCTTTTTCTTTACACATTTATCACTCTAAGCAGTGGTTTCTGTTTGTGTCCCACGGTAAACTCCTTCATTTCCTTTTTTTTATTATTATTAATTTAAGGTTTTTATTGTGGATTGAGTGAAAGTTTCCAGGGCACATAATCAGTTTCACATTTAACAATTCATATAACTTGTTTCATTACATTGATTATAATCCCCTCCATATACCATCAGTTAAAAGTATTTCTCTTTATCC